ATATATATACTGGTTTTGTTTTTATTTTCGTTCTCATATCCTGTCAGGCAAGATACATATCTTTATTCTCCAGTGAAGGAAACCGTCTCAGAGATGAATCAGTGACTTCTCACTGTCACTCAGCTAAGCAAAGCATGTAGATACTTAAGTTGAGGGAAATCACTGGCCTTCTCTGGCTCTCACATAGAGGGCAGTCCAATCTGCAAATGGCAGCCCAGTGCCCTGTGCACACTGAGGAGGCTAAGGTAAGAGGGTTTCAAGTTCAAAGCAAGCCTGAACTACATAATGAGATCCTGACTGGCAAAAGAAGCAAAAGTTCAATGTTGTGGGACACAAGACTTGGAAGTGGAGGCAAGCAGATCAGGAATTCAAGGTTAGCATTAGCTACATAGTGTTGAAGCCAGCCTAGGCTACGTAACACTGTCAAAAGAAAGAAAAGTGGGTCCTGAGGGAGAAACATAAGGCAAGGGCGAGAGCGAGCCAGGTGTGGGTGGGGGAGTCCCATTCATATTTTATCTTTTCCATTTTTTTCTTCTTGAGTGGCCTTAAATTCTTGCCTCAGCTGAGCACTGGGATTCCAGATGTGCACCGTCGTTACCAATGTGAAGTAATGTTTCCCATACTGAAATGTCCCGGGCACTTTGGCACCTCTCAAGACCCTCTTGAGAAAGACACAGCAGGGGGCCAAAGGGATGATTCACATCCGAAAATAATGGTGTTCTGGGTTAGTTTCAATTCTTGGGAATCTGTCACCTGGAACAAAATGTTTCCTTTTGTCATTTAAAGCTACTTGAAAAGGAGGGACCTTTGAAACTAAAATTAGTTCTCTGGTATCTGAACTCCAAAAGAGCCACCTCTTCCACTTCCTTTTGGCCTCAGGTTGGCACATAGGCACAGTTGGCACGTTAGCACCCATCCCAACGGGTCAGCCTACAGCAATTGTACATTGTTACCACGGTCTCCTTGCAAAACAGTCGTCCTCTCCACCTGCACGGCATTTCCCCGGATTCCCTTCTGCCCACTGCACAGCTAGGCTACACATCAAGCAAGGCAGTTTACTCCAGTTTCCGTGCCAGGGTTGTTGGAGCTCTAGCCCCAACTTGTCACCCTCTTAACCCCTCAGAGACACAACCCTTCTTACCCCTGGAGTGAGGAGCACAGGAAACAAACACGTGAAAGCAGGTAATCCTTGCTTTTTAATGCTTTGCAGCGTGTACTTCAAAGAAACTTCCTATTTGAAATAATGTGTGTACACAATAGTGAATGAGAGGATATGATGAAGCTTCCTTCACCTATCAGACAGCTTCAAGGGTTACCCACAACTCACTATTGACCTTCCTCGATGCCAACCCATTATTGTCCTTCCTCCATACCAACTCTATTGACCTTCCTCCATACCAACCCATTATTGACCTTCCATACCAGCTCACTATTGACCTTCCTCCACACCAGCTCACTATTGACCTTCCTCCATACCCACTCACTATTGACCTTCCTCCACACCAGCTCATCACTGACCTTCCTCCACACCAGCTCATCACTGACCTTCCTCCTGAACGGAGTAAGAAATGGAGAGCACCAGGTGCAACACAGATTTTATGATACAGGGAATTGTTCATTTTGTGCTATGATACTTTTTAAAAGTCTACGTTGTACTCGGACCCAGTATGGCCTCAAATCCCCAGGCTCAAGTGATTCTCCTTGTTTCAGCCTCCCAGAGGCTGGAAACTATGTGCATGCGCTACCAGGCCCAGATTGTGCAGGTTTTGAAGGGGCATTTGGATCTCTCAGAGATACCTTCTGTAATCTGGATAGACGGAATGGGATGATGCCCAGAGCCAGTGTCAGTTTTTTCTCAAGCTGTCTTCTGCAGATCAGCAGCAGCCAAAAGGTTTGTGGCATGCTTTTCTTTGTATGCCAGAATACCTGCCAAAGGCGATTCTCAGTAAGCAGACTCTGAGAACTGGGTTTCACTTGTCTAGCTCCAAGACTGTCTTTGACAAATATATGGAAAGAATAATGAACAAAGTCTTAGCTTTCAAATTCTTAGTCCCAACTGGTAAGAAATCCCTCAATGACAGTAAAACTGAGCAATGTCTTAGGCTACCCTACTCCAGTGTAGTAATAGCAATAATGCTAATAGCTACAGTATAGTAAGCACCTGATATATATATATATATATATATATATATATATGTGTGTGTGTGTGTGTGTGTGTGTGTGTGTGTGTGTGTGTATGTATGTATGTATGTATAGATCCTAGTAGCTTTGTACAGAACATTTCTAATCCCTAAAACTGCCCAAGTTATATATTACCAAAGTCTGAGTATGTAGATGAAAAAAGAATGAGGTTCAGATAAATGAGTGTCCAAAGATCACTTAGCTCTAAGGAGCCTGAATTCCAGATCCGCTGACTCCAGAAGAGCTTCCGGTGGGCTGCACTGTCTCCAGTGCACATAAGGCCTGAGAAGGCAGAGACTGTATCCCGGTAGCAA